TTCTTTCTTAGCATCACCTGTCAACAGTGCCTCAAATAGTATTTGGAGATCTTGAGTCCCTTGCCCATAGAAGGAATGGTTTATTTTGCCTTAAACCTCAAGGTAGACTCCATCATGTCATGGAAGTCAATGCATCAGAAGGTTGAAGCAACTAGTTGAATCATATCTACAGTTATTAAGTAGAGAGGGAGGGGAGAGACATAATGGTACTCAGCTAGCCTTCTACTTTAAATATACTTCTGGCTATATGCTCAGGAAGTGGACTCACCCAAATTTAGTGTGAGTCTTCACTCCACAATTAATCTAATCAAATAAAGCCTTAAAGGCATGCCCATATGCTAAACCAATTGACATAATCCCTCACAGGTGGGCCTCAAGGCTTGCCTTCTACGACATTGTATATCCTGTCAAATTGACAGTGTTGAACATCATAGAAAGTTTACTACAAAATTTGGGCTAACACAAAGCATTTTTCACAGCATGAATGCTCTGGAGAATCAGATTGTTTTGACAAGCCATGGAATCCTTTGGGCTTTAGTGTTGCATTTAGAGAAATGGATGAAAATACAGATGTAAGATTACTTTGAAAGTCAAATGAGATAAGAGAAAAAAAAGAAATTTTTGGAATTTCATCTAGATATGACCTGTATTTTCAGCTTTCTAGGTAAAATATCAGAAATGCAATAATGATCCAGAAAATAGTCACAGAAACTGACTTTCTTGAACTTCTCCTTTTTTATTTTCTGTTCTTCTTCCATCTAACAAGCTCCTCCTTATCTTCTTTAGCCTCCAGGGAAATATTAATGGGAAGCTCTTTTCTTGGCTTTCTCCTCCTCCTCTTTTGCCTCCTACGGTGCAGCTCAGAGGTGCCTAGTATTCAAGTGCTCTATATTCAATCTCCAATGTGTGTGCACACATTAAAAAATGCTTCTCTAGTTTCTGTCACAATCCAGTGTTAGCAATTACATTTGATACCTCATTGTTCTCACCTTTAAGCATCCTATTCCTTTCATCAAAATTTCCCCAGTTTCTCAAGCCATACCCCACCACCACCCCCATGTCTTTGTGCATGTGTGTGTGTGTGTGTGTGTGTGTGTGTGTGTGTGTGTGTGTGTGTGCGCATCTGCTCACACGCACATGCTCTACAGCACATGTATAGAAGTCAGAAGATAACATTAGATGCTAATCCTTGCATCCTACCTTGTTTGAGACACAGTATCTTTGTTATTCACCAATACATGCTTCAGAATATCTGACCCATGAACCACTTGAGATTATCCTGTCTCTACTCCTCATCTCTCACCATAGGACACCTAGTTTAGAGACACTTGGGCGAAATGCTGAGCTTTTATGTGTGATCTAGGCATATAACCTTAGGTTCTCACACTTGTATGGTCTAGTTTCATATCTTTAACTGTTGGATACCTTAACCAAAATGAAAGGGTTGATCTATTTTAGATTCCAAATCATATTCCATCCCTGAGAGGAATCAAGACAGAAATAGAAGTCAGGCATCCTCCTTTTGTTCCTCTTGTTTCTCTTCCTTATTTCATTCCCCTCCTTCTTTTTCCCTACCTCTTCCCCTTCTTATTTCCTCTATCATATCCCTACTCCAGGAAAATAGTTACAAAAAGGTTTCCTTTTTTTCTTTACCTCCTCCTTCTCTTTCTCCTTTTCCTCCTGGGGTGGAAAAGGAGTATCAGAGGCAGATACTTGCATAGTTTGCATAAGGATCTAGGTTTATCTGTATGTCAGGGGATATCCCTGTTTGTGATGTTCATGTGGGTATCCCATCTCTAACTTACTTTATAGCCAATACAGTGAGGCAGAAATCGTGGAGGATGCTCCTTGCTGGCTGGCAGGCAGGTTTAGGCTTAACTAGGTTTCTTACACAGCCCAGGATTACCACTTGCCTAGGAATGGGGCTGCCCACAGTGGAATTCATCTTCCTGCATCAATTAACAAAGATAATCTCCAGTAGACATACCCTCAGGTCAATCTGATCTAGGTAATTCCTCAGTTGTTATTCACTTCCCAGATAATTCTAAATTGTACCAATTTGATAGTTAAAGCTGTCTAGGACTTAACACTAAACACTTTTACTACTAACTATTTTCACAACTCTCCTTTCTCTATTTTTGTCCCCATATAACTCTTCCACAACATGCCACAATTTTATCAATTCTATGTTGTAAATAATATACACTAACCTAGTATCATAAAATTTTTTTAAGGAAAAATAAACTTAAGTCAGCAAAGATAGATTTAAATTATTGCCCCAGATAGAGAAACTATAAATATGCTTAGAGCACACAATCATCCATAAATATTGTTTTTACCTTTGCAATGTGTGAAACATTATGGTTGTGACATAGTATAGCCCCATCAAAACATAGGTTTCTGTTATTATTGTATGTATTGTGTGTGTGTGTGTGTGTGTGTGTGTGTGTGTGTGTGTGTGTTATATTCTGTTTGTTCTATCCCTCTGGAATCTCATATCTCTCTCCCATTCTTTTTTTCCTCCTCTTTACATGCCCCTTTCCCACATTCATGTCTTTTTTGTTTTGTTTTGTGATCTACTGATATTAACCAGGACCATATGTGCAGGCCCAAGTTTGGGACTATGCTTTGGAGACAGGTGGGTTTCCCTCTAGTACACAACTGAAAGCAATGACTATCCCTCTCCCAGAATTTATCAGCTGCCAAAAGTTTGTCAAGGAGGGGAAGGGCTCTATGAACCTTTCCTTGATTCATGTTTGGTGTTAGCAGGCTCAATGCAGGCAGCCACACAGCTATAAGATTATATTTGCAATACTGTGTCATATCCTGAATTTTTAATAAGATTACACTTATTTAATTATGTATTTGTGTGTGTCTCTCTCTCTGTGTGAGTGTGTGTGTGTTTGTGTGTGTGTGTGTGTGTGTATGTGTGTGTGTGTATGTACATGCATGTCCTGATGTACATGTTGAAGTTAGAGGAATACTGTGGGAATCGGTTCCCTTCTTCTACACTGTAGGTCCAGAGTATTGGATTAAGATTCTCAGGGTTAGTGGAAAATACTTTTATCCAATGAACTTTCTTGCCAGCTTATTGTTTTCTAAAATTAATGGAGATTATATTTATCATGAATATTATCACAGGACAAGGCATATAATAATGGTCAAGTAAGATGCAGCCATTACTTTGTATATAAATCTAAAAATGTTTCATAATGTGCTTACATAATAGTCCCTTATTATTACTCTTTTTTCCTATCTGCAGGTTATAACAATCGGTACTTGACCCCTACCACAAACAGTGAGTACTCAAAGCTGTGGTACCCCAATATACCCAGGACCCCCTTTCCTAGAATTAACTCCATAAAACAGAAATTTACAATATCCATTCCCATAAGTTTTCCAGAACAGCTCCATCAGCCCTTACTTTCTATATCCGCTGTGCCAATCTCTATAGCTAAAAACACTATCTCCAGAGTCTGTAGTATTTCTACACTACTTTGTATGGTATCTGCTCTCCACTCAGCCAGTTCTGTGCTTTCTGTGCTTGGGCCACCCAAGACACTAGTTTGACATTTCAGCACCTTAACTTTAGTCCACCCATTGGACACACTAGCTATTTATGAAGGCCAACTATCTCTGATCTCTCAATTTCCAAATCTCACCTCAAGGATCTGACTTTTCCAGACTACCTTCTATTAATAGCCCTTTCTTTACATTCACATCTGGACCATGGCTTTTTTCTCTGATTGTGATGACTGATTCTTTTATTTTTTCTTCTTTGGAATTTACTTCAACTTAATTTATTCACTCCTCGTGTATTTATCACCTACTTCATACTCACTTTCTATTAAAGGCTGAATGCTTCAATTGATAATGAGCAATCTGTATATGTTCATGTGTGAATTCCATTTGAATATTAGGAAATTATTCTAGATCTTAGTCATGATTGTGATTATTTTACCTTCTCTTTATTTTTCCCAGACATAGGCATAGCGTCTACTAAGAGTCTAGGCATCTGTTACAGAGGGCTACATTTATATCGTATATTCTGTCAAACTGAAGCCCATGGTCCAAAATTATTCTATAGGGGATAAAAAAAGTTAGAATAGTGACTATATCACTTTAGCTTCAAAAACAATCTTAATCTAGGGAAATGGATCAGTGGGTAAATGCACTTACTATAAAAAGTCAGGGATAACCCCAGCACCATGGCAGGTAGAAATGGGAAAATACTGGGACTTGCTGGTGCAAGCCTACCTCCAGAATTAGTGAGACCATGTCTCATGGAAATCAGAAAGAGTGCAGAACACTGCAGCCTCCATGCATACCTAGGTACATGCATCCGCACACACACTTTGCACATAAACCACACTTATACTTGCACATCAGTAAGTAAATAAATGAATAAATAATTCACACCCATGTTGTCAGATTCATTACCCAGTAAAAATATATAAATAACCCAGATGTATATGAGCAGGTTAATGAATTAAAATTAATAAAACCAGGGTGATGGTGGTGCACGCCTTTAATCCCAGCACTCGGGAGGCAGAGGCAGGAGGGTCTCTGTGAGTTTGAGGCCAGCCTGGTCTACAGTGCAAATGCATGTAGGCTCCAAAGCTATGTAGAGAAACCCTGTCTTGAAAAAAATTAATAGAACTTGTCCATGCAGTCAGATATTGTTAGCCATACTAAGAGGGAAATTCTCACATTTATCATAGATAATATTGAGAATATCCTCACAAAAAGAGAAATGCTATATGATTTTTCTCTTGAGAGATATAGAATAGTAATTTCATATAAAAAAGTGCCAATAGTAGTTAGTACAGGTTACGGAAGGACAAATGAGAGCTGTTTAATTATTTAGAGTTCTAGTTTTGTAAGATGAGAAGATTCTAAAGACTGGATCCACAGCAGCTAAATGCAACCACCCCCGTTGACTAGAGCCACAATGGGCTACAGTGCATATTAAACTCCCCACTTGCTCTTTTCTGCTACAGGTACAAGCCCATCTTTGGAACTCTTCACCGTCAACTTCACTATAACCAACTTGCGCCATACAGAGGGCATGGGATCCCAAGGATCTGAAATATTCAACAGAACAGAGAGGATCTTGAATCTATTGGTCAGAACTATCTCACACTCACCCTGTCTCATCTCAGTCTTGTACCTCTCAGCTTCTTAGATCACCTCCTCTTTTGTCCACAGCTCAAGCCCATGTTCAAGAATACCAGTATTGGGCACCTTTATTCTGGTTGCAGACTGATCTTGCTGAGGTAAGAACTACAGAGTATTTATGCAGGGCATGTAGAAGAACACCATGAGCTATCTCCTAACTCCCTGCTCCTAGTATTCTAGGAGGAGGTGACCTCCAACTCCTCTCTAGTCCTTTTGCTTTCAGAGGAAAATGTAGACTCCATTTACTTTCAGGAGACAAATTTTATTGAGCACTTCTTGCTATGTTTTGTTATATTTTCAGTATAAACTCCCCAGAGGAGGCCTTATCCACTCTGAGGAATGGATGGGGGACATTAGGATATGGGGAGGTATTGAGGAGGTAGAAAGGGAAGGGGAAAACTGGGGTTGGAATGTAAAATGAAAAAGATTTTTAATTAAATACAAAGAAGTACTAATCACTAGTCTATATTACCAATTAAATGTTGGATGAGAGTCCTTTTATGAATTTATTGAAATTTATATTGCTTAAAATAACAAAAATTCATTTATATTTATGTTGCTGTAGCAAAATACTCTGGCCAAAGAAAAAATAAAACCCCAACATACATAAGGAAATATTTATTTGACTTATACTTCTAGACTATAGACCATCATGTGAAGAAGTTAAAGTGGAAAGGGCTTGAGACAACTGGTCACATCATACCCACAGTTAAGAGCAGAGAAAAATTAATGCACTCATCTGTCTGCTGACTACTTGCTAGCCTTCTGCGCTCCTTAAAGGCTCAAGATTGATGCTACTCATAGTGGTCTGGGTCTTCCTACATCGATTAACAAACTGGACCATTTCTCACAGGCTTGGTGACAAACTGATCTGATCTGTTTAATTCCTCATTAAGACTTTCCCCAGGCAATTCCAGCTTATGGAAGGTTGACATTTAAACCTAACCATCACGGGTCTGATACTGTTGATTTATTTCACACACAAAAATAAGCCATAGAGTTGTAGAGAAATGTACCTGGCATCATAAGCCAGTTGAAATTGTTTTCTTTTACCTTATTTGCATTCTTCTTTTCCCACCCCCATTGTCACATTTCTGTTAGTAGGGCATGTAAGGTCATGTTATAGATGTAACATTAAAGGATAGCACAAATACTGGCATGTTTAAATGTTGTCTTTATTGCAAGGACATTAGCTCTGTTGTTAGTTATTTTCTTCTGGCACCAAGGTTATAATTGTTCATCAGTAGCCTCACTTCTCTTCTTCAATGAAACTTTTCTGAGGCCCAACCTGGAGTTTCCTTCTCCCCATCTCTGTCACTTTTACTTGCACAGGCCTGAGAATGATGGAACAGCCACTAGAGTGGATGCTGTCTGCACTCACCATTCTGATCCCATGGGCTTTAAGCTGGACAGAGAGAAGCTGTACTGGGAATTGAGCCATAATACCCATGGTGTCACCAAGCTAGGATCCTTCACTTTAGAAAAGGACAGTTTGTACATCAATGGTGAGCATCCTCTTAGGAACTATAAGCTGAAGATGAGAATGTTACCCTAGGATAAGTGGACTCTCTGACTGATCATTCCTATATATGATCTTCAACCTGAGCAACCACCTGCTGCTGACACATGAGCTCTGAGTCTTCAAGTCCTTCTGTTTTCTCTAGATTACTGCATTACAAAGACATTATTTAGACATATGTCTAACCAACAAATGCTTTCCTCTGGTTGAAGCCAGTGGTGGTTCAGTAGTGGTTTAAATCTAGGGTTGTTTGTTGTTTTGTTTTACATTGAAGTAAGTCTTGTTATATGACTGAGACTGTCGTATAAAATGTAACCCAGCCTATCCTCAACCTGATGATTCTCCTGCTTCAGCCTCTCATGAATGCTGGGGTTATAGGTATATACCCTCATACCTGTCTATATCATTATCTATGAGGAGCTACAATGTCTCTATCATGCTTGCTATGCATCAGGACATATTTTCTGAACCTTACTTCCATCAGAAGCTTTCATTTGAAATCTCACACTGAGCTTGGAGTGGTGGCTCATGCCTGTAATCCTTGGGTGTGCCTGGTAAATTCAGGCATCATTGTTTGATCTCTAGTAATATAAGGAAGAAGAGGAGAAAGGGAGAATTAGGGGAGGAAAGTAAAGGAGAAGAAGCAGAAGTAGAAACAAGAAGTTTTTACCAGGTGAGGTGGTCCCTATCTGTAATCAAAGCACTTAAAATGTGAGGTGGGAGGTTTTCTGCAAGTTTGTGCTCAGCCTGGGTTACATAGAGAATTCAAGGCCTATCTGGGATACAAACTATTGTCTCTCTACCTCAAAGAAAACAAAGATTCCATCTCAAACAAGATAAAAACAAAAAAAGTTGAGTCTTTTATCTTCCTCCCCATAGGCTTTGAGAAATGATAGTTTACAAATACATGTTGTAGAAAATAGAATGTGTTTAAATTGTAAATCCATGGGAAAATAGACAGTTATCTTGATAACACCTAGATTATTATTTTTTATTGGTTTCTCAAGACAGGGTTTCTTATTTCTGTGACTGTTAAGAAACTCATTCTATAGACTGGCCTAGAACTCACAGAGATCCTCTGGGTCTCACACTGTGAAATGCTGGATAAAAGGTGTGTGCCACCACAACCCAGCCAATACTTGGATTCTAAGTGTTCCACTGTATAGACTTGAAGTCTCATCTGGCGATGGGGCTGATGGGCCTCAGCTATATCATAAACATTTCTGTCCTTGCATTCTGATTCTCCCCTTTTATCGTTTCAGATTTTACCCATCAAACCTCTGCTCCCACTCCCAACAGTGAGTATTTAAAAGTCTGAAGATTGTGTTCATCACACCATCTGGGAGCAATATCTGATCCATAACTTACTGAATCCAAGGTCATAGAGAAGAAAAAATAAATTAAAAGCTGGACTGACACACCCACCACCATTTCTTTATGAGCTAATTTAGAGAACAGAGATGCTCTCTTGTGATGTTCATGCACTACCTCAAACACCAATTTTTATTCTAATCCATCTCTCCTCAGCTCCTGTGACGTCGTCTCTGTTTTTCCCAGGGACTTCCACCACACAATCTAACCCCTCAACAGGTAAGTGACTTCTCTCTACAACTCCTTCTAGTAAGTAAATTCTCCCAGCTTCATAGATAGGACTTTGGAGATGATTGAGGGAAGCTATAATGTTCATGCGTGCTTCCTGTTGTGTGCACGTTTTAAGAGCAGGAGAAATGCTACCCTCAAATTTTCATCCATAGCTATCTTGGACAATTTGTTTATCCTATTAGTGCCTTTCTTCAACTACCAAATGATGCATTTATTTACAACTTCACACTAACGCTTAAAAGTCACGTATTTAATCCTATCACTTTAGCAGGGTAGTAGAATATTTGAGTCACATGCCCAAGCCCAGGGTTTGGCTTTATTTTAATTTTATTTTTTGTGCATATGTGAGTTTATGCTATGCAGGTGCAGGTGGCTACAGAGACCAGAAAAGAGTTTCTGATCCCCTGTGGTTGGAGTTGTAAGCTTTTGTGAGCCACAAGATGTGGGTGCTGTGAACTAAACCTGGGTTTAGCAGGAAGTGATCTTAATTGCTGAGCCATTTTTTTGACAGCCTATATTTTGGGTTTAATCAAGAAATACTTGCTTACCACCTATTTTGTATTAGATATAAAGGTTAAGATGTTGCATATGTCCTGTAGTTCATCAAAGTTCAGTTCATTAGGTAAATTAAAGTAAGATATGCAATTATAATTAATAATAAAACCACTAAGAGAGGCACTAAGGATGTTCTTCAGTAAGTAGACTACTTACCCACCATACATAAAGCATTATTTATGGTCAATCCACAGAACACCATAAAATTAGGTGTGTGGCCACACACCTGCTATTCTACAATTCAAGTGGTTATCCTTAGTTACATGGAGAGTTTGAGACCAGCCTGGGGTACCCAAGAACCTATCTACAAAAAATAGATTTTTATGAAATTTCACTCTATGTTGTGTGGTTTTATATTCTTTAATTTTTGTTTTGAATAAATAATAATAGATTCCAGAGTTGATGGTAATTAGTACAAACTTCTTTATATAATTCACCTATTTTTCCCCAATAACTAAACTTTATTTAAAATTGCATTATAAAAGTCTATAAACTTCAATTAGATCTTTCTAGTTGTTCTTCTTTCCTTTTTGGCAATGATAAGACACTCTGAACAAAAATAACTTCAAGAAGTACTTTTGCTTCTCATTTGGGCTTATGCTTCCAGGCTACAGTCCATCACTGAGGAAAATAAGCATAAGCAAGAACTTGGAGGCAGGAATCATGGAAGAATTGTGCTTACTAGCTTGCTTTCTGGCTTAGTCACAGCCTCAAACTTAGCTAATTTTCATAAAACATTCCAAGACCACCTGCCCTGGCAATCATGCCACCCATAGTTGGATTGGTGCCTTATATCAAGGAATAAGACAACCACATGTAGACATACCCACAGGCCAATATGATCTAGGCAATTCTCAATGGTGGTTTTTCCTTTCAGTTGTTTGTGGGGCAGTGGTTCTCAGTCAGTGAGTCACTACCCCTTTATCAAATCTCTATTTCTAAAAATATTTACATTATTACAATTCATGACAGTAGCAAGATTACAGTTATGAAGTAGTAATGAAAATGATTTTATGGTTGCACGGTCACCACAACATGATGAACTCTATTAAATGGTTGTAGCATTAGAAAAGTTGAGAACCACTGTTCTAGGGGTGCCAAGTTGACAAGTAAAGCTTTGTGGGTAATTGTTACATAAGCACCTGGTCATGTATGTGTTTCCACAGCATCTTATCACATGAACAGATTCCTAAAGCCATTACCATAATTAAGGTCACAAAATCTCCCTTCTATCAAGCCAACCATTAGCAATCACTAATATGTTTTCCTTCTCAGAAGGAATATTATTTTGAGGGCATTACATAAATGGAAAAATACAAGGCATAATTTTGGAATTATCTTTTTTTCTCTACCCATTCCAATGACCTTGAGAGATTTTAGTCTCTCTTCTCTTTCTTCCTTTTTTTTATTTTCAGTGTTGGGATCAAACCCAGGGTCCCGCTAGGCAAGTATTCCACCAATTTACATTCATAGCTTCTTCCCTTTTATTTTGATCCATGATCTTGCTATGTAGCTCAGACTGACTTCAAGCTCGAAGTGCTTCAGGGCTGGAGAGATAGCTCAGCTGTTAAAGGCTAGGCTCACAATTAAAAATATAACTTGCTGTGCTTTTATCTTTCCCTCTTGATTGCACTCTCATTTGTTATTTATACACAGTTATCTAGTCTTCATAATTTCCCTACATATACACTTCTTATTTATAGTGAGGTATGGTCAGGGAACACATCCACAGATATATGACTAGTGGTGGAGTCAGGGATGTTTTCAAACTAAATGTAATTAAGCATTGTCCTATAACCATGGTAACAGCCCTCTAAAGGGTGCTGTATTCATTAAAGGACAAGTTCTAGGCAAGATGGGGTTGAATCAGTGAAAGAAGGCTTCTCTTAAGGATGAAGTTAGGTTGATGTTCAAAACATTTGTCAAGTATTGCAAAGGCTTTAATTAGCTTTTTTTCTGTTCCTTTCCCCCAAACCATGTAATTTCTCTGATTTTTTTAACCTTTCTTGGGAACTTATAAGGGTCACACCTCTATTCCTAGCCACTTGGCCTGGCTCATACACCTCCACAAGTACTTTTTCTTGTGTCTATGGCATTCTGCCACAGTTCAGTAACACTGTTCATTCATACACAGTTAAAAATTCATTTTAGCATTGTCCTTTCACCATCCCATAGCCTCCCTTTGAGTCAACATTTGGCATTCTTGATAATTGTACATCTGAATTTCTTCCTATGTGGAAGTGGAAAAGTAACATAGTTGTTAATACAGAAACTTTTTAAATGTGTGCTTTGTTTCTTATGAGGCTTTTGGTCTACCTGTCCTAGGTACCATGATCTGACTGCTTATTTCTAACTTCCTGTCTTAGTCCTCAGAAGTTGTCTTAGAGGTAAGATCAAGTGTGAAATAGACATAACCTTTTCTCCCCTTGATTGCAGTGGTCACACCTGTCTTGGCACAGTTCACCCTCAATTTCACCATCACTAACCTGGAGTTCAAGGAAGACATGCTGTACTATGGATCCAGGAATTTCAACACTCTGGACAGAGTCCTCCAGCACCTGGTGAGAGGCATTCCCATTGCATCTAAGTCCCACCTTCTTTGACCTTGCTACTATTACCTGAGTCAGAGCTCCTGCTGGCTTTGCTCAGTGATTCTTTCTTATTTCCCCTCTTCTTTCTCATAGCTCAAACCCCTGTTCAAGACCAGCAGTCTGGGATCTCTCTTTTCAAGCTGCACACTGATGTCACTCAGGTGAGTCCATCCCCAATACAAACTCAGTCAAATAGATGGATGGAGCTGAGCAATGGGCTCCCAATGGTCAGACTCTTAGTATTTACAGTCACAACCGTCTGACTATGAAACAGCAACAATACCAGCAGCTAAATGCTACTAAGTTCCTGAAGTATTTTATGATTTTATATTTTATAATTAATAGTTCATAGTTTTTTGTATCTAATAGTTCTTCAGTTTGAGCAAAAAATTCATGAAGCAGGAACAGAAAGGGAAACTGAGGTGCACATAAATAAATGCTTTATGTCACATCACACAGAATAATATACCATATTCAAAAACACATATAGTATACTTAAGGGGATATATGTATATGTGTATACTCTTTTGTAATTGCCACATACATTTAATCTAAAATACATATTACACACTTTATGGCAATTATATATAAGTAAGCTATAAAATATTTATATAGGGGTTGAAGATTTAGTTCAGTGGTAGAGTGCATAGCATGCACAAGGCCCTACGTTCATTCCCTAGTACTCAAAAATTAGTTATAGTTTGGGCTGGGCTATGACTCGGTGTTAGAGTCCTTGACTACATTGTGGAAAGCCTTAGGTTCCATTTCCATCAGTACATAATATGCATAGTAACAGCACATAATATATGTTATATTACAATAACACATAGATATCCAGTTATTAATATATTGAATTTATATTTATATATCTTTATTTCATATTTGAAATCCTATATAATTGTGCTGTGTTACTTATATACACTGATAGTCACAGTGGGAACTGAGCAATGTCAACCCATTAGGATTGTTCTGAGTATGAATGATGCATTTGTTATAGAATTAATAAGCCTTCTTAGTAAAAAAAATTACTCTGAGCAGTTAGAGATTAATAAAAGAAAATGCACTTTATTACTAGCACATGACTAGTTCCATGTAATGCACAAAAGGGTACCAGCCTCAAACAGAAATTTAACCAATTTACATAGACCTCAGGCTTGAATATTCCACATAAGATGCCATCCTTAAATCTCATTTAGGTTCTGGCCTCAGGTTCCACTTTGAGCAATTTAAACAGAAACAGGCGACTGCAAGCCTGGCTATGTAGGCAAATGGGAGATTTGCACAACTAAGTCATTGTAAGAGTTATTTTTTTGTATATCGTGTTGTTCCTTTCAAATACTTGCTACCCAGGATCATCTTGCCAGCCTGGTAGAATTATGCTTTTCCTGATAAGAGCACAGGGGAGTTAGGGCATGATTAGAACTTAATGGTAGTGATGAGCCTGAGCTGCCCCCTTGGGATGCTCTTGGAGGTATATACTTTGACATGGGGAAAGGCATAATGGCTGATTGTAAGTCAGGGTTGTCTCCTTTTGTCATGGGAATGGAACCTAGTTAGAGCTCAATTTTGGTAAGTAAGCATTAGCAGAAGAATTTTCTCAGCAACCCTAAATTTAATTGTTGTACAAAATTTCTTTCCTAGATTTTCTAGAAATGTTGATTAGTACAATATTTATCATCCAGTCATAAAGAAGCAGCCTTCGTTATTCTACATCATGCAGCAGTATTTCTTGAGCAAGTTTGTTAGTAAATCTTTTATAGCATCAATTCTATTACTCTGGCATCACAGTTATGAATACAAAGGACTGAACCCCTGCCTGGGGAATGTTGAGTAAATGGTTATTATCACACTTGAAATAATTGAATTCATAGCTGTGTGGCATGAGAGCAATTCATCCACTGGCTGGTTATCTGGATTAATAGTCTGCAACTAATGCTGAAGGGGCATGTCTGTCATCCCTTCTACTAAGAGGTTACTCCAGTAGAAGCCTATGAAGCAGCACAGGAAACAGTCTCTGAGACAGCAAGTTCAAGCCCAGCTTAGAAAACTTACTGAAACCTTGTCTCAGAAATAAAATAAAAAATTTTAAAGCTAATTTTTTTTTAAAAAAGGAAGGCTGGAGATGTTGCTCAGCAACAGAAATGCCAGCCTAGAATTCACCAGTGAGGGTGTGGAATATACATGAAACATAGAGTACATGCTTGGAATCTGCCAGTGTGAGGTTGGGTTAATTCTCTAACAGCCTGCATGCATGCATTCTTGCTTGCACATGTGTACGCATGCACATGTGCACACACACACACACACACACACACACACACACACACACACACACACACACTGGTAAGGCATTGAAACCTTCTGATGTTAAACTGACTCAGCAAATGTTTCAAACAGACCCTAAAATGGGCAACTCTCTCCAACAATGTAAGAGCCATGATTCTTCCCCAAAATCCCCAGCCCTAGTGTTCCATAGGACCTGATGTAACTAACATTAGCCTTCTGAATGCCAACTCTCTGAAGTACAATGTCATGACCATCTCTTCTGAGTCCACTTCTGTCCATTTAAGCTTGGCTTTCAGAACCGCATGTCCATCAGAATCAGTGACAACACTCAGATATCCTGACAGCATGTGGATTTCTAATCCCTATTAATATAACCCTCTCTCTGTCTATCACACATTTGAAGAGACTTACTTCACAATATACAAAGACAGATGTCGTTGTGATCCTAACTATTGGTTATGGTGTTTGTTTCCCCCAAGGACACCTCCTTGTTATAATTTCCTAGTCTTTTGAGTTAGAGTCTGGCAGAAAGAGAGGAAAGAATGAACAGTGGTTGGCAGAGCTACTCCAACTATGTTCTATACTTACCAATACTTACCCAGGTCTAAGGAAGACGGAACAGCCACCAGAGTGGATGCCATCTGCACTTATCACCCTGACCCCAAAGGCCACAGATTGGACAGGGAGCAGCTATACTGGGAGATGAATAGGTTGACTCATGGTGTCACCAGACTGGGTCCCTACACCCTAGACAGGAACAGCCTCTATGTCGATGGTAAGCATCTGGATGTGGCTGGTTTCTTTGTGAATTGGCAGCACCTATACTCAGGCTTTATTTACCCTCCCTGCCTGGTTCTCAGGTGTTAGCTATGTCCTCAATAGGTGCTGACTCAGTTAAAACTGACTTAACCCTTATCTGATAAGAGATTTCCTGATAGGCCTTATGTCATGAACCCCAATCTATTATATGTGCTTAAGTCTCTCTGGTACTTCTTGTATCAATTACTTTTCTCATTACAGATACCCAACAGAAGCAACTTAAGTAGATATAGGTTTATTTGGGCTCATAACTTTATAAAGGACAATCCATCATGGAGGGAGGGTGTTTGAAACAGTTCCTCCCATAGCAGTGCCAGCTCATGGTGCTGCTTGTTGCATATCGGAAAGCACAGACTCTAAACCAGAACCCAGAACAGTATGTCTATAAAAGCCTACCATTGATGATTTATGACCACAAGCTAGGTGCTATGTCCCTGAGATTTCACAGTCTCCCAAAACAGTGCCAACAACTTGGGAACAAATTGTTTGAACACTAGGGCCTGTGAATGCCATTTTACATTCAAACTGCAACAGTACACTTCTCGGTCTCAAACATGATCCTCTCTTATCCTCTTTTGTTATGGCAGGTTTCACCCATCAGAGCTCTGCACTTATCACCAGCAGTGAGTATTCAATAGATGTTTCAGTGACTCCCTATCTTATACCAAGCAAAGCTGGAGCCTTTCATGTACTTTGGCTAGAACAAGGGATCTGGGAAGACAGTTCTTTACCTCTTTTTCTGTCCACACATCCAAGACAATCCCAGTTCAAGATCTGTGTGCAAAAAAGTTACATGAATCATATCTCTTTTCTGTTATTTCTGCAAGGAGAGTGCCTTGCTTTTTACTAATGAAAGTTTCTTTGTAGCTTCTGAGACTACTGCAGGAAACCTGGGAATCTTTGGGACTCACTCCTTCCCCAGAACCACAGGTTAGTACTAGTTTGAGGCACCTATGTTAGAAGGAGCACAAAAGTGTCAATGCCTCTAATATTATATACAGAAAGATAGGATGTTATAGTATATCTAGTAATTTCATCAACCAACAATTTCCACTGATCACCTAGTCTGTTTCAGACACTGGAAAAGATACCACACACACACACACACACACACACACACACACACACACACACAGTCTCTGCTCTTAGAATTTATATTCCTATGGCTACTCTGATGATGTTCATGTTGGTGTTCATAGTGTCAGTAGTGATGGTGTTATTCATAGTTTTGATGGAAGTAATCATGTTGGTGATATTAATGATTATGGCCATAGAGATGGTGGTGGTATTACAGTTACATCTTGATCAAAATGTCACAACATTGGCCTTGGAGCCTATAAGAACCTGTCCTCCACCATGAAATGGACTAAGCCCCTGATTCTGTAAGCCACTCTATTAAATGTTTCCTTTGTAAGCGATACCATGGTTCTGGTGTTTCTTCACAGAAACAGAAACTCTAAGACAGAGGCAATTCCTCAATTGAGGTTTTTCCTCTTTCCAGTGACACTATTTTTTGTTAAGTTGACAAAAATTAGGTAGTACAGTATCCTTTATGAGGATGTAGAACTGATTATAAGACCATTTCACTGGCAATATAAGTAACAATTATTGACAAAGGAATGATTCAAAATAGATACAAAGAGATGGAAATTGGTATAATGGACACTTGTAGTCCAGGGGGATATTTGAGGGCTTTGTTGAGTCCCAGGCAATAGCTTGAGGGACAGTAGTGAGGAAGGCAATGAAAGTCATTGCCATAGAATTGGTGGGATTACAATCTAAGCAAAGGAATTAGGTGCTAAAAATAAGACATCTAAGAGCATCTTGGCCTCCTTCCTTCTTCCACTCTACTTTTTACCCATCAGAATCCTTGGTCTAGGACATATCACTTTGGGTCCATTGTTTTCCTCATCCTCACTCCATCTGCCACTAATACCTCTTACTTAGACACCAGAATTATTTTTCCTGGGGTCTCTAGGCTTTTATTTCTCCCTCTTTATTCTGTTTGCCACAAACCAACAACAGAAAGGTTTTTATTTTTTAGTTCAAATTATGAACAAGCTTGCTTCATATGTCAATTCCTTCTCCCTCTTCCTACCCTCCCCC